CATGCGATTACGGTTGATTCTGGACAGATAAGGTTCGAGTTTATGTTATTGAAGAACGGGCACTGCATGAAAACAGAGTCTACAAAGTCCTACAACTTTGTAAGAAATGTTTTTTCGAAGCTCCAGTTTGTCTGGGCAAATATGTGACGTAATAAGGGCGGATATGCCAAGAGGACTGATGTTTTCGTCTGTGTCGCCGGGACGCATCTTTGGAGAACAGATTTAAAGAGGATTCGAGATTATCGGTCACTTTTGTGTAAATACATAATATTGAGGTCATTATGTCGGGTCAGCTGTGGCGAGGATCGGAACAGATACGGCTACATTCCTAAAGAAATTAACGTCCTTTTCGTAGAGATGGCACTTTTGTCAGTTTTGTCAGCACATGAAGACATTTGGGGTCGTAATTGGGATCTTTCTGTACCATATTGCAAATTTGGATGGCGCTGACAGCTTCGACGAAGAACAATGGACGAAGTGGGAGGTCACACGCATTTCACAGATTCTGTGCACCACATATCAACACAGGAATCACAGCTGTCTCTAACCAGCTGATAAACACCATGTTTTACCACTAAACGCAGGAACTCTTATTTGAAACCGCTTTCTTTCAATCTAACAGCGAAGGAAGTATACTAGCAAATGGTGTCACTCGAATTTCCGTTTACTCTTTCCTTAATAGTGTATCGCCTATTGTTCGCCAATCACTTCATTGTTCAATTCCGGCGTCAGGCTTGGTTGGTATTTTTAATGGTCACGCATACGGGGCTCATACGCCACAGACGTTGCTCGCATATTTATAGTTAAGTATTTAGTGATATCACTATTAAGCGCTTTTTGTGCATACCGCCCGATCCATTAAAAGCGATGTCTTATTTTTAGGCGTCTTAGGCCTCTTAGCGCATATGTTTTGCCAGACAATCCAGAATTATCTAGATTTGTGTTTCTATAAACGTAATTTTCTACTTATAACGAGATTACCACGCGCAAGCCCGCATATTTGCATATGTATTCACCAACCTCGTTGATTTCAAACCTGAATAAAGAAAACGAACCAGAGGAAAAAATTGCTCAACGTGAAAAACATCCCAACACCTCACTAAGCAAACACTGCTTACCCGCACGACACGCGGGACTCCCACGCGAGATCAAGGAGTGGAGAGTTCTGGAAACAATCATCTTCTTCATTTCTGTCAGTTGGTGATATTGCTTTTATGTTTTGTTATTAAGTAAAACAGTCGCAGGACTAAAGGGCTCAGTAACCTCAAATAATATTGATCACCAATACTGTTTATGTTTAAAATCTGGTAGCGTTGGTAACAGGACGTACGTTCGAGGAACAATATAATATAATTTGCAGTTTATTTCCTGTCGTCGAAGGTCTAGCTAATGTTTGTTAATACTGTCGGATCAGAGGATTATGAACCCTCTTACTGCCGCTCTATAAATCAAGCTTATATTACGTACTAGCAGACTCAAAGAAGGGGTGTTGGAGTACAGAATGGTGCAGTCTTCCGTCTGCTTGGTTGTCAGATTGTTGCGTCTGGGGGTGGGCAAAATAAACCCTCTCTCTACTCCCCCGCCTTCCATTTTTACAATTGTCTAATACGGCCGATCCTTGGTGAGTACTCATTGGAATTTTTTGTGGGGGTGTGCCAATCAGTTTAGTGAAACAACACGAGAATCAAACCCTCTAGATCAAACACACTTATGTACACGACGCAGTGGAGCATACACCCGGAGCATACACGGCTATTTGGCACGTTCGGCCTATCTCGATATGGAACATTCTGCATCGTGACTTGAAGAGAACACTGCACTGCAATATTTAACGATTTTAGCCAGCTCTAATAAGATTATAGTTAGAGCTAGCTAATAATAATTGTAGCTAGTCTCATTTTATTGTACAAGCCCGCATCTTTCACCTGAAAGTCTGAAAAACCAAAACAAACACAGTTAAGTGTGACGTGACACCTTTGAGATTGCGTGATGGTTGTCGCGTGCCATGCCACACATCAGACAGGGCACCTCAACCTATCTATCGACGACAGAGATAAAATTGTGTTGAATAATTTTCTGACAGCTGGGAGGGAAGATAATTGTCCCCCAGAAGCACGTCTGCAGTCCTTCGGTATCATATTCACCAGATATGCACATAAGTTATTTTTATCGCAGTAAAAATACTGTAGTGATTTTTCACCGCGTGATATTTTTCGTGGCAATTGCAGACTTTGCAGTTTCAGAAAGTCGTTTCACTCTTCACAGAAATTACTTGAAGTTGCTCGCTGTAAGTCCTTAGGTGGCTTTTTTTTTCGCACATACCTCGGAGATTTGAGACTCACTGTGCCGTCCTCCTGATAGAATAGAAGCTTTTCGTCGTTGTCTTGTCAGGAATGGGCGATGTTTCATCCAGCAGTCCCCTCATTTAATACTCAACTTGATCCGCTGGGCGGATTTCCGGATCTCTTGTGAACGTATCAATATTATTAGGCCCCTGTTGTTTTTCTGTGAAGCTAAGAAACCCGTTGCTCTAAAAATGGAACCCAAGATTATTTCTGGGACGCGGGCAACTCAAACCCATTGAAAGTGTCTGGTGTGAACGCGCTCTAATCTGTCATAGTAACATTAGCAAGAAGGTTTCCGCCCATTTTTCACATGGGACTGATTGAAACATTTTTGTGACTAAGGCCCAGTTCAGACGCCGAACTTTTCATGAGCCGAACCAAATACATTGAATTAAGTACATGAAAAGTTCGGCGTCTGAATCAGTTAAGAACG